CCAATATCCTCTTTCTGTCCCCACACAGAACCTCAAAACCCAGACCTGCACCCCTCTCAGTCTTCTCTTCTCTGGGACCTTGCCTTTCTCCTCTCCTCTTGCCTCTTTCCTCTTGAATCCCAGAATCCAGTTATCTGGCCCAGTGCCCACCCTGCTTGCAGCACACTCCCCACCCAACCTTTTCCTTCTTCCTCCAGAAACTCCAGATCATCTCAGTGCCAGGGGGTGGGGGCAGGGTGAAGGTGCCCAGACCCTGGATCTTCTATTTCCCATCCTCAGAGGGTAGGAGAGGAGGCATCTGAGACGTGGCCGGTCAAGTCACTGCGCGGACTGACTTCTCCATCCAGGGAACTGAAACCCAGTCTGGACAAGCCCTCAACCAGTGCATCCCCACCTCCTCCCTCTCCCTTCCCGCGGCTCAGCAGCCCAGCCCAGCCCTGAGAAGAGCGTTGGCAGCTAGAGCTGGGAATGAGGTGGCAGAGCCAAGAACAACAGAGGCACCGCCTGGGCGCTGTGCAGATCCTCCCTGGTCTGCCCACAATGCCTCTTGTCAAAGTCAGAGGCACCACCTGGCCACCTGGTGCTGCGCAGACCCTCTCCTTATCAGACTGTAATCCTGGTCAGCCCCCTCCTCCCAGTCTATGGTCCTGACCCTACCTGGCCACATCTGCCTCTCTTTGCCAGGCCTCAGGGCTGGCCCTGGAGGTTACTGTCATCCCCTGCCTTTGGGTCCAGTTACCCCTTTCCCCAGGTCACTCAGGATTCTCTACCCTAACCATCCCTAGTTTTCATGATTTCTCTCCTGCATCCAAATGTTTCTGGGAAATGAGTTGCCTCCTTTCTAGATTTCTGACCCTTCTCCCTGCTTGCACTTCAGTTTGCTGGAAACTTTTTTCAGGCCTAACTCCTATGTATCCTGCTGCGAGGACAATTTCATTTGGGGCAAATCAGAGCCTGGCCTTCTCAGACTTGAAAAGGGCTGAGCTCCTGAACCCAGAGAGATCAGAAAGCAGCACTCTGCTCTGTACCAAGGATCAGGCCAGACTGGGAGGCAGCCTGCCTAAGTCTGTGCTCTGTGCTAAGTGGAATCCTGAGGGCTCAGGGTGGCCAGGAGACAGAACTCTCTTGCCCCAGCTGCTCCCGGCCCCTCTCTCCTGCTCTCAGACTTCCCTGCATTCTGTAGAAGTCCTGAATTCATTGCTGCCCCTACGCTGAGTAGCAGAGACCCAGGTGTCTAGCCCCACCTGGGTTTAATTTCTACATGCGTTCCAGCCAACAAACTCTCTGACCCAGCAGATGAAATAACACTGCCCAGGGTGAGGTTCTTCTCCAAATGCTGAATTTGGCTAGAGAATCTTCATGGCCCCGGTTGGGGGTGAGGGTGGGGGCTTAATCACTCTCCCACACTTCCCATCCCCAGTCAACCCTTCCCTCTCCGGCGGCTGGGCTGGGTGGTCACTCCTTCTCCCTGCTAGCCTCAAGGAAGTAATGGAGAGGGGAGGGGGGTCTCCTCTCCCCAAGTCCTAGACCCCTGAGTTATACACACATCTACACCCACTCACACTCTTCACCATCCAGGAGCCCTCTCCTGTCCATCTCTATTCTTTCAGGTGTAAGACCAGCCACCTTCCTTTTAGCCACACCACCATGGAACAAAGCCCCAGAATGTTGCTCTCCTAAGTCTCTAAGCTTGTTTCCTCCTCACTCCACCCCTACCTATCCCACCTCTGCCCCCGCCCCCAGCTTTTCTCATCAACTTTGCACCCTCCCCTCACTGAGTCTCCAAATTCCTGGGGGGGCCCAAGAGGGTTATGACTAAAGCTCCTGCAAAGGGTCACCCTGGGCAGATCTGTAGCAGATTTGGTCATAATTAAAAGGCCAGAGGCACTGGGAAATTCCTTCTCCTTATTGATCCCAGCGGGAAATTAAAGCCAGTTGTTTGTGACTGAGTGGCTGATGAGGGCTGCAGCTCCTCCCCATTGCTTGCTTCCAGGGTCCTAGCCCCTGCTCCTTGCCTCTAGGCATCTCCATCCTCCTCAGTTAGTCCCCTCCCCCAAGCCCCTCCACTCTCTCATCTCCCACCCCTCAGCCTCCCCGAGTTCCCTTCCCCAGCATCTTTCCTAAGCACCCTCCGTGCCTGCTGCTCCCTGGGGTAACAGGGCTGCTAGAGGGTGAGACCTCAGCCTCAGCTATTCAGCACCCTGCTTAGACCCCCTACCCACCTCCCTCAGCCAGGGTTGGGATGCTAGGGCTGGAGCTGGAGCTCAGGCCCAGAGCTGCCAAACCGCAAATGCTAACATCTGGAAAGAATTCCTCTCCCAGCCCGACTTCCCTTTGTCTTACTTCTGTCTCTTTGGAAATCATGGCCGGTGGGCTGGTGGGGGAAGTGGGAAAGTAAGGAGAGGAGAGTGGGCCCAGGTCTCCCTGCCCCCACCCCAGGGAGCCCCACTCCCTGGCTCTAGCCTCCCCAGCAGCCTCGGCCAAGCCATTCAGTCTGTGCTCCCCTGCTCTAGCATCGAGGGGCCAATCACCCCCTCCTATGAACTCTGTTCCTGAATCCTGGTGACCATCTTTTGGGTGAGGTTTTAACATCCTTAGTCACCAACAAGGCTGTGGGGGACAGTGCACTGGTCTTTTGTCATGCGGGAGGAGGGATGCCTATTGAGCAGGAGGCTGGGCACTTCTGGCTGGGGGCTGCAGAGGGCTGGTGGTGTGGAGATGGACATAATGACCTGGGTGGGGGAGGCAGGGGGCAGTGAAGGGAAGGAGGAGCAGCAGGAGTCTGGTTTCCACCACGTTCCCTCCTCTAGCCTCTCCTCATCCCTTTGGCCAGGAGCCGGATTTCACTGTCAGAGCCTAATCCCCCTCCTTTACCTACAGCATTGCTGAGCAGGGAGGATGGGGGAGGAGCTCAGGCTGTGCCTGCAACCCCAGGCCCTAAGCACTTCCCAGGGACCCCCCCAACCCCACTTCCTTCCACCACCTCTGCTTTTGTCTGTCCTTCCTCAGAGAGCTCCTTGACCTGCTGCCCTCTTCCTTCCAGAAGCACAGGCCCCCCAAACACCCCCAAATAAGCTCTCCCACACAAACCTGGACCCCTAAACCCAGGCTGAAGTATTCAGCTCCCTTCTTCAAATCTCTGTTGGCTACTGCAGGCGGGGCCCCACAGAGAAGTCCTTTCTGCAGTGGAATCTCCATCCCTCCTGCTGCCCAGTCAGCCCAGCTGCTTTATTTTCTCACCCACCCATTTCTGCAGATTTCCCTCTCTGCAACCCGGAGGCCCGACCCCCCAGTACATTCTCCAGCCTTCAGTTCTCAATGCTGAGGTCACTCTGGCCCCTCTCCTTTGGTCATCTTCCTCCGGACTCCTCCCCAGCTCCCACCAAAGCCCAGAACTCCCTAGATCCCTCCTAGGTTCTAAGCATAAGGGCTCAGAGATCTGAGAGAGACTGCCTGCTCCACCCTTGGCCACGCTGGCGAGGAGGGGCCGGGGCAGGGACCCAGGGCTGGGACCAGATGTGGGGTTTTTCTTCCCGCCTCAGAAGGAGCTGGGAGGGAGAGTCCGGGGAGGGTGGGGGATGGGATGCAGCGTCGGTTCGCCCAGGGCCACCGGTCCGAAGGGCCCCCCGCGTTGGACACGCCGGGACGGTTCCTTTGGCTCCAATCACTGCATCCCGCCAGGCTCCGCTCCTCTGCGGTTTCCGGCCTCAGGTCCCAGGCCTGTCTCCGAGGCTCCCTGCCTGACCTCAGTTTCTGTTTCTCCGTCTCCCTGCCATCTCCACTGGGGTCTCGCCCACTCCCACTCGGGTCTCTGCAGGAAGCCTTGCCCTCCTCCCACCCTCTTTGATCTCCCGTTTCAAAGCCGCTCGCCAAGGGAGGGGAGGTAGCTCCTTCCGCCCGTTTTACAGCTCAGGATGGTGACACCTGAGACCCTGCTCCGCCTTCTCCCCGGGCACCCATCCTCCCTTCTATCTTGGTGGCGGCGCAGCTCGCCAGGGCTCCGCGCTTCTGTCCCCGCCTCCCTCCCTTCCGCCTACGGAGACCCCCTCGGGGTCTGGGGAGTGAAGCGACAGAGAAAGCGCTTTAATAAAGACCTCGCGTCAAGTGATTGGCTGTGACCTCTGCCCTCCCAGCCTCGCGCCCTGGGCTCCTGCTTAACCCTTCAGTGTCCGCCCAGCCCATTAAGGGGAGCGAGTCGCCTGGCGACTACTTCCAGAGTCCCCAGGCACTACGGGAGCCCGAAGCAGGATAGAGGGGTGGGGGGACGTGCCACCCCCGCCCAGCCTCTCCGAGTTGTTCCAGCAGGGGGCGCCGTTGCCTCACTTAGATCCCTAATCCCGCAGAACCCCGGAGCTCCCCTGCCCCTCTCTGAGTTCGAAGTGGTCCCACTGGATCCAGTTCAGGCTTCAGTGGAGCCAGGGCTCAGTTGCCTATTTCCCCCGGTCAGCTACGGCTCAAGATCTGGGATCCGCCCGCGGGTGGGGTCGCCAGGTGTCCAGCGCCAAGGAGTTGAATGCACCGAGTCAGGTTGGGGATGGGTGGCGAACAGGCGAGACGTGAGGAACTCTGGTGGGGGACAGCCATACACGAGCCCTGAGCATCTGCGCCCGCAGCTGGCTCCCCGCGCCTAGGCGGACAGCGCAATTCAAGTGCAGGCTTTGCATCCGCTTCCCCATCCACTCCCTAGAGCAGGAGAAGGCTATCTCGGTCCCCAGAGAAGCCTGGACCCACACACCGGCTAGATCCAGAGGTTGGTGGCAGGGCCCCCCCAAGTGGGGGAGGGGGCGGAGCGGAAGGCGGGGCCACTTCAATCCTGGGCAGGGGAGGTTCCGCACAGGGTATAAAAGCTGTCCGCGCGGGAGCCCAGGCCAGCTTTGGGGTTGTCCCTGGTCGTATCTTGGTTCCTGAACCTCACGACTCGGCGACGGCGACGTCTCTTTTGACTAAAAGACAGTGTCCAGTGCTCCAGCCTAGGGGTCTAAGGGGACCACCACCCGCGCCGCCACCATGCCCAACTTCTCTGGCAATTGGAAAATCATCCGATCGGAAAACTTCGAGGATTTGCTCAAAGTGCTGGGTAAGGAAATGTTCGAGGGCCCAGGTGGGGCAAGGGGGGCTCTGGAGTCCTCGAAGGTGGGGATGAAAAAGAAAGCGGGACCACAGGGCGTGAGACACTGGGCGCCTGCATCACTGAAAAACGTGCCAGGCGTCCGGGTCCCGTGGCGCTGGGCACGACGCCTAAATCCCGCTTTCTCCTGCGGGGGCCCACCGGTGCCAGCACTGCGGTGACTCACAGCCTGTGAATCACGTAGAAACCAGAAGCGCGAGGTTGGCCTCTGGGGGAAGGGGAGGCTGGCCTCAGCGGCCGGACTCGGTGAGCCGAGGCACCTGGCTGTCCGCAGTTCAGAAGCTGCAGGCTGGTGGAGCCACGAACCCTGCATCCAGACTGGGAGCCCTGTTCCCTAACCTGCCCAGCCGCTCGGACACATTCCAATCTCCTTCCCGGTGCCCCCCTCGGTAACCCAATCCCCGGAGCAGGCTCATTACCCCTAGGCGCCCAGCTCTGCCTACCAGGTGATCTGCCGCCCCAGCGCCCCCTGAGCTCCCCTTTCCTTCCCGTGTGCACTTTCCACTCTACTCTCCCTACCCCCCATCTGTGAGACAAGTATTTTACTACAACGAGCAGCTCCAGAGTTCTAAAATCGCTAGGGATAATTATCACTTTCTTGGATTTCAACAAATGGTTTCGTGTGAAACCCAAATCCCACATTTCCAAAAATCTAGGTTCCCACCTCCCTCCACACACCATAGATCAGCTGCAGCCCAACTGGGTGTGTTGGTCAAAGGTGGGGAAAACAAAGTCAATCCAGACTGCCCTTCCCACTTTCCCAGCCCACTTTCTGTGTGCTCTCTGGGCCAACTGGGCTAGACATCTGGGTCTCTGGGGGAGAGATGGACGATAGTTAAGGACCCCAGTCACTGGGAGCGTAAGGACAGGCCTGCCGCCTTCAATTCCTGCACTGAACAGAGAGAGGGTAGTTGGGCTGGGCTGGGCAAGGGGGTAGGGAGGGAGGGCACCCTGGACTATAGGAGTGAGACTGGATCTAAGAAGGGTCTGGAATGTTGCAGAGAGAGCAGGAATCTCCATCATTCCTTGCTGTTGGTTCTTCCTGCGATCTAACCACAATACTTCTTGGAGTCATATCAGTCTTTCTCCCTCTGTCCTTGCTGAACTTAAAGACGAAAAGATAGAAGTTTTCTCTTTGGAAAGCCTACATGCCACTCCCTCCTCATCTTCTCTGGATTCTGGCTCCTGTCCCCAGTGGATGAGGTGGTGGCCTGGCGCACCCCCAGGTCCCAGCTGAAGAGTAAGATTCAAGGCCCCAATCCTGCCGTCTGTCTTCAGTCTGTTTGTCCTCTCTGCAGGGTCTCTCTGAGCCACGTGCCCTCCTCAGGCCCTGCAGGGGGGAGATTAAAAACAGATCCATTAGACAAACACAGTCCTGAGCCAGTCAAGGCCGGCTGAGCTGGGCCCCCAGCTCCACAGGCACCAGGGGCTTGCTGAAGGGATGTCTCCTCTGAACTCAGCCTTACTTCTGCAGGAACTTCGGTCCTGGCACAGCCCTCTTAGCTCTAGTCAAGGGTCCATCTCAATAAGACTTGGGGACCTCAGTCATGTCTCCCTAGACCCAAGAGTTCAGCAGCCAACCATGGGGTCCTGGGCTCCCCAGGGACAAGACTTCCTCTCTCCCTCTCTCTTCTGTTTGGAGTAGGGTAGCTATGCTTTGGCGCTGAGGGGAAAGAGGATTTGTTTCTCTAGGAACCCAGGTCTGGAGGAGGGCCAGGGAGTTGGCCGGATCAGGGGCAGGGAAATCCTGCTGCCTGGCGGAGGGCCCTTTCACCCCCACCTAGTGCATCCCTGGCTGTACTCCAGGACAGGGCGGCAGATCAGGCCAGGTGAGGTGGGTGCGTGGAGCTTAGACCTGGAGCCCATCCAGAGAGGCCCCCTGCTCTGCACATCTTCCTTTCAGAGGGGTGCTGTCTCCTATCTCCCCCACTTTGGTTAATAACTGGGGAGCAGAGAGAAGGGGTCCAATCTGGGCTGGGATATGGAGGTGCACAGAGAGTCTGAATTCACAGAGGCTGAATGAGATAGCCAGACCCTGTGAGGGGAGTGGGGGGTCCTGAAGTAGGGGACACATCACACAGAGCGGGGAGGGCAGGCTCCTTTTCTATCCCTTCTTCTCACGGCAGAGGGGGTTCCCTTGAGGGGACAGGGATATGGGAGTCTTCCAGAAGGGCAGATGAGCACGGTGCCTAATGAAGGGAGCTTTGTCTGAACCCCAGCTTTTTGTTTTCCTTTTTTTTTTTTTTTTTTTTTAGTGGTGGGATCTCACTATGTTGCTCAGTCTGGTCTCAAACTTCTAGGCTTAAGCAATCCTCCTGCCTTGGCCTCCCAAAGTGCTGGGATTACAGGCATGAGCCATGGCACCTGACCCTTTGCCTTCCTTTTATCAGTAAAAATAATACCAACAATAATAGCTACTGTTTTCTGAAAACTTAAGCATATGCCTGGCACTGTGTGTGCTGAGTCCTAAACACATACCATTCCAATTGGCTTTTTTTTTTTTTTTTTTTTTGAGACAGAGTTTTGCTCTTTTTGCCCAGGCTGGAGTGCAATGGCACGATCTTGACTCACCACAACCTCTGCCTCTAGATTCAAGTGATTCTCTTGCCTCAGCCTCATGAGTAGCTGGGATTACAGGCATGTGCCTCCATGCCCAGCTAATTTTGTGTTTTTAGTAGAGATGGGGTTTCTCCACATTGGTTAGGCTGGTCTCAAACTCCCAATCTCAGATGATCCACCCACCTCGGCCTCCCAAAGTGTTGGGGTTACAGGCGTGAGCCACTGCTCCTGGACATTTTTTGTTTTGTTTTGTTTTGTTTTTGAGGCAGAGTCTTACTCTGTCTCCCAGGCTGGAGTGCAGTGGCATGATCTCGGTTCACTACAACACTCAAACAATCCACCTGCCTTGGCCTCGAAAACTGCTGGGATTATAGGTGTGAGCCACTGTACCCAACCTTGATTGGCTTTTTAAGAAGCTGTTATTTTCATTTTACAATTGAGGAATCTAAGGCTCAGGGTGGTTAAGCCATTTGCTCAGGGTCACCCAGCCTGTAAGGGGGCTGAGCCAGGAGGAAATCACAGCCTAATGACCTTACTCCAAAGCCTCTGTCTTCCCCGGCTGCTGACCATTCTGTAGAGGGAAGTGGCTGCCCCGCCCTCTTTCGTTGCTGGGAATCTCTGCTCCTCATTTTTGAATGGGGCAGAAATTGGGCAAATGAAGACCTATCTAGCACTAGATAGGGTGGGTAGATAGGGCAGAGAGGGAAATGGCTCCTACTTCCCAGGACATGAGTGATGGGGCCTGGCCTGTGCTTGGCCAGGGGTACAGACCCAGTGACTCCGATGAGCCGTCAACAGGGTAGACAAAAGGCCAAAAGTGAAGTAAACAGAGACAACCAGAGCCGGTAGCAGGATGTTTCTTGGGCAGGGGGCTGGGGAGAAGCTGCCCCTGGACATTCCAGGACTGAAGAGCTGAGACATGGGGAGCCCAATCCAGGCCTGCTAACTCAATAAGGTGGGGCCACAGCTGGGAACAGGACCCCCAGGGGCAGGCCACTGCCTCTCTCCCTCTCCTCCCTAAACCCCCTCATCTTTCAGGGCTGCACTGCCTGCCATCTCCTTCAAGGCACTTTCCTAGACACCCAGGCACCAGGCAGATGCACCCCCCAACACACCCACCCCAAGCAAGTGACAAATCAGTCTGCTCCAACTGTCTCATGGGGAGGGTGTGAGAGAGGTGCCCAAAGCCCCCCAAAAGGTGAGCCTCTCCACTCTCCCCACAGGGGTGAATGTGATGCTGAGGAAGATTGCTGTGGCTGCAGCGTCCAAGCCAGCAGTGGAGATCAAACAGGAGGGAGACACTTTCTACATCAAAACCTCCACCACCGTGCGCACCACAGAGATTAACTTCAAGGTTGGGGAGGAGTTTGAGGAGCAGACTGTGGATGGGAGGCCCTGTAAGGTGAGTGCCAAGAGGGGCTCCAGGGTCATGGCATCATTGCCCTGCCTCTCAACCTACCATTTTCCAGGCTAGCAGTTAACTCCTAGCTTCTCTCTGTTCCCACTAGGGAAAATCCTTAAGTAGTGGTGGGGGCTAGAAAGGGGCTCTCTCTCCCTTATCCCTGTCACTGCATTGTGCCTGCTATGGGCCCAGCTTACTTGGCCACCTGTCTCTTGCAGAGCCTGGTGAAATGGGAGAGCGAGAATAAAATGGTCTGTGAGCAGAAGCTCCTGAAGGGAGAGGGCCCCAAGACCTCGTGGACCAGAGAACTGACCAATGATGGGGAGCTGATCCTGGTAAGTCCTGGCTCCTCCCCACTAATAGCAAACCCAGCCCTAGATAAATTCCGAGATTCTCTGGGAGACCCCAGGGTGCGGGAGACTCAAGAACAACCATGGCTTGACTCCGCACCCTCCTGATGGGACTGCTTGGACAGAACTAAAGTGTCCCTATGCCATACAGTGCCCTGTGTGAATTAGAAATGGTTGTTGTTCCTTTTATGCAAAGCAAAGGGCATGTACTGGGGCGTCCCAGCAGTTCTCCAGGGAGATCTTCCTGGCTTGAGGAGGAGGACAGGCCCCGGGGGCTCTATTGCCGTCCTCCCTCCAGTGATACCTGGGTATTCTGGGACCAGCTCCTATCTATTGGTCTTGAGCCAAGAAGCAGGTTTGGACCTGGAGGCCAAGCAGAGTACCTCCATTCAACCCTCCCCTCCAAAGCCACAGGACCCCAGGGGCCTCTCAGGCTAACAACTACTTCTGTCCTTCCAGACCATGACGGCAGATGATGTTGTGTGCACCAGGGTCTACGTCCGAGAGTGAGTGACCACGGGTAGAATGGCGGCCAGAGCCCACCACTGGCCAGGCTCACCGCCCTGCTTCACTGCCCCCTCCCTCCCACTCCCTTCTTCTAGGATAGTGCTCCCCTTACCCCAGTCACTTCTAGGGGTCACTGGGATGCCTCTTGCAAGGTCTTGCTTTCTTTGACCTCTTCTCTCCTCCCATATACACCAACAAAGAGGAATGGCTTGCAAGAGCCCAGATCACCCATTCCGGGTTCACTCCCTGCCTCCCCAAGTCAGCAGTCCTAGCCCCAAACCAGGCCAGAGCAGGGTCTCTCTAAAGGAGACCTGAGGGCCTGAGCAGGAAAGACTGGCCCTCTGGCTTCTACCCTTTGTCCCCGTAGCCTATACAGTTTAGAATATTTATTTGTTAATTTTATTAAAATGTTTTAAAAAAATAAAACTTGTCTCTGGCTCATTGGGCAGGGGGTAGATAAGTCACCTGAGTTCAACCTTGCCTCTGAAATGTAGTGTGGGAAAGACTTGTGTTTCTACAGCATGGAACTGAGTTACACGACAGGAGGGAACAGTCCTTCTGGTCACCCTGCTAACCACCACCCCTTCATTTGCTGCTGAATCCACCAGCCTCACCTCTGCATTCCCTCCTCCAAGGTCCCTCCTTGGTGTCCTGCTCTGGCCTCCAAGGTCACCAGGGTCTCCTCCTCCTGACCTCTCAGCTGGGGCACTGGGCTCTGAGGAGCTGACTCCCGCCTTCTCCCATGTTTTCCATTATGGTGACAGTTTCCGCCGCCTCCTCCAACTGTTGCTTGCCTCTCCAACTTCAGCCCATAGATGACCCCAGGCCTGGCCTTGGCCTCCCACATGGTTCCAGATGAGCTCATCAACACCCACAAGCTGGCCTTGCAGCTGCCTGGGCCTCTGGGTGAGAGGTCTCATCCTGCCTGTCAGCCCTTTGTGTCCGAGACAAGCCATCTCTGCTACCATCCTTCCTCCCTGCCTCAATCTCCCACATGCCCTTCTGCCTCTGGCTTCTAAATCTTCCAGGTCCCTTGGATCCTCCTCCAAGCCTCTCCCTGAGCCTCCACACTCAGGTCTACACCAGATCTCAAACTCCTGGGCTCAAGCGATCCTCCTGCCTCAACCTCTCAAAATGGTTGGATTGCAAGCCACCGTACTCAGCCAGTTGTTCTGTGTTTTTAAAACACAAAATAATGTAATTTAATGGCTTATGTACTAGGAAGCTCCAGCTGGGTCTGGCTTCAGGTATGGTTGGATCCATAGTTTCAATGATGGTCATCAACCTCTCCCTGTCCATACATCCTGCTCATCTGTTTCTCTCTCTCTCTCTCTTTTTTTTTTTTTTTTTTTTGAGACGGAGTCTCTCTCTGTTGCCCAGGCTGGAGTGCAGTGGTGGAATCTCGGCTCACTGCAAGCTCCGCGTCCCAGGTTCACGCCATTCTCCTGACTCAGCCTCCTGAGTAGCTGAGACTACAGGTGCCCGCCACCACACCCAGCTACTTTTTGTATTTTTAGTAGAGACGGGGTTTCACTTTGTTAGCCAGGATGGTCTCGATTTCCTGACCTCGTGCTCCACCTGCCTCGGTCTCCCAAAGTGCTGGGATTACAGGTGTGAGCCACTGCACCCGGCCTTTTTTTTTTTTTGAAATGGAGTCTCACTCTGTCACCCAGGCTGGAGTGCAATGGTGCAATCTTGGCTCACTGCAACCTCTGCCTCCCAGGTTCAAGTGATTCTTCTGCCTCAGCCTCCCAAGTGGCTGGGATTACAGGCACGAACCACCACATCCAACTAATTTTTGTATTTTTAGTAGAGACAAGGTTTCACCATGTTGGTCAGGCTGGTCTTGAACTCTTGACCTCAGGTGATCCACCCGCCTCGGCCTCCCAAAGTGCTGGGATTACACGCGTGAGCCACCGCGCCCGACCTCATCTGTTTCTTTTGTGTATCAGTCACATTCAATCCTGTCACATGGTTTTCTCCGAGTCATGGGAAATTGCCTTCAGATGCCCTAAGCTTACATAGTTACAGTTTGAGATCCAAAAAAAAAAAAAAAAAAGAGAGAGAGAGACCCAGGTCCCTATCTTCTACATTCCAAGACTCAACTCTGTTCTGCTTTGGTCACATGACCATCCTTTGGACTAGGTGCTGTTGGGACAGGTGGGGCACTGTGACAATCCCTCAATCCTAAGGAATGAGAAGGGACAGTTTTCCAGTGAAGAGGGTCACCATGAGTCTCAGGTTTCTAATCCATATCATAGCAATTCTAAGTAATACCTCACTGGGTTGTTACAAGAGTTAAGTAAAATAAGTCACATTCAGCACATAGCACTTAGCCACAGGAAGCCCTCAGAGGGCGATGGTCCTGTCTGTCACCCACCCTCTACAGTTCTGCCAGGGGATTCTTCTACAACAAAACTTTCATTATGTCAGTGCCCTGTTTAAAAAACAACCAAATAAAAACTCACCTCAACTGCAGCCCTTTCTTTTGCCCAGAATAAAATCCAAAGCAGTACTGGAGGCTCTTTAAGCCATGGCCCCTCCCCTTGCCACATCTGCTCCTCTGAGAAGGACCCACTGCATGGTTTGTCGTCCTCTGCCCATTGGCACCCAGCGCTTCTCCAACGCTTAGCTCCTTGTGTAGCCCTAAGCAGCCTCTCTCTCCATCAGTGCTAACAGTCAGTGGTCACGCTTCATAGCCTAGGAGCCTCCTCTCCCTGCAGTACCAGGGTGCCCTGGGGCCAGGGCCTCCCACTCCCGCCCCATGAGAAGCCACACACTACCGCTGAGGGCAGACGGCCAGGTCAGGGAGTAGGGAGACAGTGTCCAGAGCCCTTGGGGAAGTGAGTCCCCACTCTGTCCGTGGGATGGGGGAGGTGAGGGGCTTTTTCATGTACTCATCTAATATTGTTTCCTGAGAGCCTCCTAGGAGCTGGGCACCCTGCTAGGTACTAGGAACACGGAAACGAATCAAACAGACAAGCTCTCCACCCTCATGGGGCATGTAGGGGAAAACAGAGCTTTAGTCGGGAAAGATAATTTAAAAATAAGTGTACCAATAAATACATAATTGCATATTGTGGTAAGGGCTATAAGAAAAAGCGGGACGAGGGAGAGAATAATAAAGCAGACCTCAGGTAGACCGGGTATGGGCAGAGGCGGCAAGAGAGGAGGTGTGTAGAGGAGTAAAAGTAGAGGGGAAGGTGCTCTGGGGAGCAGAAACCACAGGCTAAAAGCCCGGAGGCAGCCAAGCATCGGAGGCTTGACTGGAGTGCAGGGAGGCTGGAGGGATGGCCAGCAGAACCTGAAGGCCACGCCAAGTACTTATTTATTCTAAGAGCAATGAGAAGCCATCAAAGGATTTTTGAAGGGGGTAGCATTGCATGTGTGTTTTTAGGAGTTCCCTCTGGCATCGAGGTGGAGAGGGACCAGAGAAATGGGTGAAGGAAGAGCCAGCAGGAGGCTGGTGAAGTGTACAGGCAGAAGGTGGAAAGAGTCCGGTGCAGGGCACAGTGATGTGTAGCCGGGAGGTGAGAGGATGAGAGAAAGAAAGAGAGGTACGAAGAATGGTTCTGCGGCTTCTGGTTTTGGTCGCTGAGTGGCTGGCGGGGCTGTTTTCAGAAATGAAAAAATGAAGCCCGCTGGGCTGGCTGCTGAGAGTCTTTCTGGATGCCTGCTTTTTGTTTGTTTGTTTGTGTTTGTTTGTTTTTAGATAGACTCTCCCGGGCTGGGCACTCACAACTGTAATCCTGGCACTTTGGGAGGCCAAGACAGGAGGATCACTTGAGGTCAGGAGTTCGAGACCAGCCTGGACAACATGGTGAAATCCTCTCTACTAAAAATATGAAAAAAGGACCGGGTGCGGTCGCTCACGCCCGTAATCCCAGCACCTTGTGAGGCCAAGGCGGGTGGATCACGAGGTCCAGAGATCGAGACCATCCTGGTTAGCATGGTAAAGCCCCATCTCTACTAAAAATACAAAAAATGGGCTGGGTGTGATGGCGGGTGCCTGTAGTCCCAGATACTCTGGAGGCTGAGGCAGGAGACTCACTTTACCTGGGAGGCAGAGGTTGCAATGAGCCAAGATCGTGCCATTGCACTCTAGCCTGGGTGGACAGAGCGAGACACCGTCTCAAAAGAAAAAAAAAAAAAAATTAGCCGGGTGTGGTGGCACACTCCTGTAATCCCAGCTACTCGGAGTCTGAGGCAGGAGAATCGTTTGAACCCGGGAGGTGGAGGTTTCAGTGAGCCGAGATCACACCATTGCACTCCAGCCTGGCAGACAGAGAGAGACTCCATCTAAAAAAAAAAAGTGGGCTGGGTATGGTGGCTCACACCTGTAATCTCAGCACTTTGGGAGGATGAGGTGGGCGGATCACCTGAGGCCAGGAGTTCGAGACCAGCCTGGCCAACATGGGAAAACCCTGTCTCTACTAAAAATACAAAAAAATGCCAGGCGCGGTGGCTCACGCCTGGAACCCCAGCACTTTGGGAGGCCAAGGCGGGAGCATCACGAGGTCAGGAGTTCGAGACCAGCCTGGCTAACAGTGAAACCCTGCCTCTACTAAAAATATAAAGATTAGGTGGGCATGTTGGCACGTGCCTGTAGTCCCAGCTACTTGGGAGGCTGAAGCAGGAGAGTTGCTTGAACCTGGGAGGCGGAGGTTGTGGTGAGCCAAGATCGCACCATTGCACTCCAGCCTGGGCAACAGAGTGGGACTCCATCTCAAAAAAATAAAAAAATAAAAAATAAGCTGGGCGTGGTGGCGCACGCCTATAATCCTAGCTACTCAGTAGGCTGAGGTAGCAGAATTGCTTGAAACTGGGAGGTGGAGGTGGAGGTTGCCGTGAGCCAAGATCGCGCCACTGCACTGCAGCTGGGAGACAGAGCAAGACTCCATTTCAAAAAAGAAAAAGTTAGATAGCTAGATAGCATCTCCCTCTGTTGCCCAGATTGGAGTGCAGGGGCGCTATCTGGGCTCACTGCAACCTCCGCCTCCCGGGTTCAAGCGATTCTCCTGCCTCAGCCTCTTGAGTAGCTGGGAATATAAGCGTGCACCACCACGCCCAGTTAATTTTTGTATTTTTAGTAGAGACGGGGGTTTTGCCATGTTGGCCAGGCTGGTAAATTCCTGGCCTCAAGCGATCTGCCCACCTCAGCCTCCCAAAGTGCTGGGATTCCAGGCGTGAGCCACCGGGCCCCGGCCTGTTTGTTTGTTTGTTTCCTCTCCTCCTTTCTGCATCACCGCCTCCCATCTCACCTCCTTCCAGATTCCTTGCCCCATCTCATCAACATCCAGGTCACCCAGCTCCCCCTACCCCTTCCCACCTCAGCTTGGCTCCCTACTCCCCACGTCCTTAGGCTCTGGAGGCTGAAGCTCTGTCTTTCTGTTTGTCTGGAGCACGTGCTCTTATTTCTCTCCCTAGTTTGTCTCTTTCTAGAACAAAGTTATTGAGAAAGGCAGAGAGAGGGGCCCTCTTTCTTTTTCCCAGGAGATCCCTGAGAGCAGGAGCTGGGGCTCATTCCTCAGACTGGGGGCTCCCTGAAGGCAGAGGCTGTGTCTCATCCCTGAGATGAGGAGACTCCCTGAGTGCAGAGCGGGCACTGCTCCCTTTCCTGGCTCTGCTTCTCCAGTTACTTTCCTGCCTGCCAGCCTGAGATGACAGGGAAGTTACAAGTTACAGTTACAGTTATGGACTGGGAGATTGGATCAGGGAGGGGCTGCCTCACCCTGCTGGCCCAGCCTGGCCCCATCCATGAGAAAGTCCCTCCAGCTTCCCCTCCCACCCCAGGCCCTCTTGGGCTCCTCAGTCGTTACCTGGGCCTTTGTTACTCAGCAATGCGTTTGGGAGAAAAGGCACAGCGGCTCTCACCTCCTGCCTGTGCCCCCAAATTCTGTGAGAGCTTTGTGGGCAGAGAGGCTTCTTTCCTCTGAAGTCCAAGCTTCTCAGAGCCCAACCACAGGAGAGGCCAAAACATGGTTCCAGTCCTGCCACAGCTGGAGCAAGGGGCCCCAGAGAGGGTGGAAGGGCAAGGCAAGCGGGGAGGGGAGCAGGGTGCAGGAAGAGAATGACTCCCCCTTGGGGTTGGGAGGCTGACATACATGGCAGATCCTGACAGGCACTGGGAGAGTCTGCACCTACATCTTAGGGAAACTGAGGCAGGGCCGATCCCTCTTCTTCCCCCACAAGAGACGGGAGTATGGAGCTGAGAGAAAGGCCCAGTGATGTCAAAACCCAGTGATGCTCAGGGCACAGCTGAGACCAGAGAGGACAAAGCCCAGAAGGAGCCCAGGGCCCAGTGGGGCCTCTGAGACCCCAGCACCAGAGGACAGCTTCATGCCTACGTGCGGCAGGAAGGGCCGAGTTACAGGGGTCCCCAAAGGAGGGACGCAGAACCAGAGATGGAAGCCCTGACAGAGACAAAGAGAGGCAGAATGAGAGACACAGACAGAGTGAGACACACAGAGAGAAAATACGAGAAGAGAGAGGCAAAAAAAAAAAAAAAAGAGAGAGAGAGACTGGGTGGGAGGAGAGGAAAGGGAGGAGACTGGAGAGGTGACACAGGAGAAAGTGGGGAGATCCTGAGACACTTGGGAGGAGGGGAGGAGGGGGAAGAAAGGGCCCCAGGGGCGGTGGTCCCAGGAGACAGGGCGTACTGGCCAGGACCTCTGACCCCAAGTCCCAACAAAAAGCTGCTTAAGGACAGCCACAGGCGCAAGATGGATGGGCATGTGGCCGCTGGCCCCTTTGTGGCGGCGGATGAAAGGCAGCAGGCTCTGAGGACAGTCTTCAGAGCTCCCCACCGCTGAGGCTCCCCTGCCCCTCCCCCAGTGACCTCCCGAGCCTTCAAGTGTGGTGGGAGGTGGGGAGGGGAGGAGCTGAGTCCAACCAGGTGTTTCTCCAGGCTGGGCCAGTCGCACCTGAGGAAAAAGGGGGACAGGGCTGAGGGGCTGTGGGGGGCCTGGGAGGGGCTCCCTGAGTCTTTGTAGAAAGTGAATCAGTCACAGGCAAATAAGTTGGATGGGCCAGGTCGATGGGGCCCCAGCAGAGGGGGTCGAAGCTGTTGTTCTAGTGACCATAAGAGGTCCCCTGGCCAGGGCGTCCCACCTCTCTCCTTTGGGCCTGGCACTGCCCTCCCGACCTTTTGGCTTCCTCCTGCCCTGTCCCCCTTGGCGCTGCCGGTCGAGAAACCAGTTCTGTTCCTGCCCTGGATAAGAATCTCTGGGCTGGGCTTTTCCCAGGCAGCGGCAGAAACCTGGCAGGAAGACAGCACCCCCGCCCCCAGCCAGGGCCAGATCTCCCCATTGCAGGCCCACCCCAGCTGCAGGCGGCCCCTTCCCGCCATCTTTCCCAGGGGCCAGTGCCACTTTCCTGCAGCCCCGCGGACACATCCTTGCTGCCTGCACTTGGTTTCCCCTGCATCGGGGTCAGACCCATGGCTCTTTATGGAAGGATGGGACCTAGGAGCGCCCTCCCCTCCTCTCCTGTGTAACTTCCTTCTCTTCCCATGACACTTGGCTCTCTAGAGCGCCTTGCCCATCCCCATTTACACTCAAACAGAAGAGCTCCTCAGAACACCCTTGTAGGAGTCAGGGTCCCTCCCTGCTTTTTCCTTGGGTGTCCCAGAAGCCAGGCTGCTCCTTTCCCTCTACTTCCCCTTCCTGAGCCCCCTCCCACTCCCCACAGGCTCCCTGCAGCTGCTCTCATCAATCGCTCTCAACGGCAGGGTCACTGGCATCGGGTGAGACAGGGTTGACCCCACTTAACCCCAGCACCAGGTCTCCTCTTGGCCCATCATTCATTTCCCATGACATTTGGTTCCTTTTTCATCCTTTAGAGATGCAGCCCCCGCTCCTCCAACGGGAAGGGATTTTAAAAGGTCATCTCCTCTGTTCTTCTCCTCCCTCATCACGTGTCTGCTGCCCTCTGTCCCTGCCCTGCACCCCAGAAACAGCGGGCTGCTCCTTGTTCCTGTCCTGGCCCACTGCAGCGCTGGTCAGCCTCTCCAGCTTCCTCATGCATCCAGCCGCTCGCAGGGGGTGGTGGGGAGACCCAATGGCAGAGGCGGAGAGGAGGGCAATTCTGGAAGCCGTCAGGGCAGATCTGGGGGCGTCTGGAGGAGTCTAGACTTGAGCCTCAGCTCCCACCCCCGCTGCTTGAGGTGAGCGGGTGTGTCAGGCCAGGCAGGGACTCAAGCTGGTGACTCAAACCTGACAGCTGCACGGTCCTCAGCAAGGAGTCCTCCCTTCCGCCGCCCCAAGGTGGAACCTTAGAAGCTGGGAATTCTAGAACCAGAGAGCAGAGTCCCAGAAGGAAGGGACCTCAGGGATCCTGCCTCTCCTCTGTGTTAGAGGAAACGAACTGGAGGGCCACAAAGGTGCACGGCCAGCTTGGGGGTCACCCAGGTGTCAGGGAAATCATTCGTCACAGAAGAGGGGCTGCTTGGGTTCAGTACAAACCAGCTTGGTCCCAACTGGTGTCAGCTAGACCCCTCCGCACCCTCTTCCTCTCCAGCGAGGGGCCTGGGTTCTTCAGTGTGGAAAGAAATGTCAGTCTTTCCTACAGCCTACATTCCCGCCTCTCATCCTGGAGTGGGCAAGCCCCTGCCCCCGCGCTAGGCCTCTCTCCTGTCCTTCCCTGTTGCAGATGATGAGGCCAGAACAGGTGTGGGGCCCTCTAGGCTCAGGTGAGGGGTTATGAACTAAGGTTTCAGGAGGAGCCTGAGAGCAGGGCACCCAGGTCTCAGCGAGAGCTGCATGGGGAGGAGGAGACACCTTGCCTGATGCAGGTTGCAGCCGGAAGGGGGGACCCAGAAGATTCCTCAGCCGCCCAACCAGCCCCTAAGTCCATCCCAGCCCATCCCAGGACGTGCCTGAGTAGAAGGAGACCCAAGACACAGGCACAGGTGTCACGACTGTTTTCATATTCACTTGGGGTGCGTACAAAGAAGGACCCAGGCCTGTTAGCCTGGCCTTGGGCAGGCTGGCAGCATGTAGTCCCTTGACAAACATTTGCTGAGCATCAGCTACATGTCAGACACTAGTGAGTGGGACCTACGCACTCTCCCACTCCAGAGCTTTCATTCAGCCTTCCATCCATTGAGGAGTATTTTCCGAGCTCCTACTGTCTGCCAAGCGCATCCACTCCCGCACCTCCCCGCAAGTTCTGGAGCCAGAACGGGACCTCCAGAGCAAGCACTGTGGGACGGGTGTCCAGAAGAACCCACTTCGGCCATCACCAACCTCTGCTGCCTGCAGGCTGCCTGGGTCTCAGCCCCAGTACCCATCCTCACAGCTGCAAATAAAGGCTCAATCTTTCATCGAAGCTTTCCTGCAATTGTCCTTCTGTCATCACAGCCCCTGACGCAGAAACCAACCAAGGAGCTGTGGAAACACAGAGGCAGAAAGGTGAGGTCATCCCGTCGAGCACCCGGTCTCAGGGCCAGAACACGTTCCATACCCCAGCTGAGTCTCAGAAAGAGAGAGTCCACCCTCCCACAACCTTCTTTGGTTCACTTCTCCCCAGGGTTTGCCCATATTCCTCCAGGGAAGTCCTTCCTGGAGGCTAACTTAAGTGCCTCCTGCTGTCACTTTAACTTCTCAAGGGGATGAAACCCAGAAGATAGGCTTCTTTTCTCAAGGGGCTCAGGGACTGGGGTGGGGAGTGCTGCGGGTGCATAAGTGGGAAAACTTTCTCCACCTCTCTCAGCTTTCTTTTCTCTCTTCTCTACACCTCCTTCTCTCCCCTTCCCTCCTCTCTCTTTAGTCTCCCACTCAACTCTCAGCAGCTGGCTGGGAGCCAGCATTGTTCCTGCCTGGCTCCCCTCTCCCCCACTCCCTCTCTCTGTGCTCCCCCCTCCAGCCAGCCCAGTCCCTGGCATGCAATAGCCCCGGCTGGGGGGCAGGGCAGCATGCAAGACCTTTCCTGCCCCATCTTCTGCCTCCTCCTCACTCTGCCTTTCCAGTCCCCATTGATGGCCCCCACCCAGCATAAGAGGCTGAGGAGCTTGGGTTACCCAGGCCCCTGGTTATTTTTAATGCCACCAGCTCAGGAGATAAATATACCTCCCCCTCCCCCCAGCTGTCCTGGGCAGAGTAACACATCCCTTCCCAATTCACTCCCTCTCCTACTGTTCATCCACTCACCTCAGAGTTGACTCACCCGAACGTCTTCTGCTCACATTCTCTCCTAGTGGATCCCTCTAGACCCTGGACTCCCTGCAGCAAGCCAGCTTGACCCCCAATCTCAGAAAAGGGATGGGAGGAGAGCCTCAGTGTCTTGGCTCCACCTAGTGGCTTCTCAAGACACCATGCCTAGCCAAGGGGTCTAGCGGGAGCCTAGCCTTGATGCCACCCGGCTGGGGCAGGACTTCAGAACACTGCCGAGAGGAGATGCTGCACAGAAGTTGCTTCTGCTGGTGGCTGAGCCTCCAGGTTGAGTCTGGGCCCTGAGACCCCTCTCCCACTTGGCCAGGCGAGGGGTTGGTGGTCTAGAGCCCACTGCCTCTTCCTCTCTGTGATTCCACACCATTCTGTTAGATCCCACAATCCAGGGAGGTTCTTGGAATTCATTTCCAGGCCTCTGGAAATAGTTAAGGGCAGGAACTGCAGCTCTCCAGAGAGGACAGAAGGGGAGCCCGGAGATCAAGATGGACTGTTGTTCATTCCCGGCTTGTTAGAATTCCTGGGATTCAAGAAGCCAGCAGGCCTCCAGAACAGATCTCAAAATGAATCCCCCAAGAGTGGTTATCTGGTCTGTGCTTGAACACCCAGGAACAGGGTACTCACTCCCTCTGGTGGCAGTTTGTTCCAGAACAGAGACAAGTATTGTGACTGGCTCCTTTGGGCTGAGATTGGTGCCTGTAGCTTCCACCCTTCAGACCTGGTTCTGCCTCCTGGAACCATATAAGAAAAGTCTGAACTCTTTTACCCAAGAGCCTTTTAGACACTTAAGATGGCCCCACTCTAGGTTTTATTTATTTTGAAATAGTTCATGTACTCGATCAATAATCACATTCCAGATGGTGGTGTGCCTCTCAAGCCCCCACAGCTCCCAAGCATCAATTCCCTGCTGGCTTCTCTCTCTCTTTTCATTATTATTATTATTATTATTATTATTATCATCATCATCATCATTATCATTATTATTATTATTATTATCATTATTATTATTATTATTGTGATGGAGTCTCGTTCTGTGGTCCAGACTGGAGTGCAGTGGCACGATCTCGGCTTACTGCAACATCTGCCTCCTGGGTTCACATGATTCTCCTGCCTCAGCCTCCCAAGTAACTGGAACTACAGGCAAAGGCGCCTGCCATCACGCCCAGCTAATTTTTGTATTTTTTGTAGAAATGGGGTTTCACCATGTTGGCCAGGCTGGTCTTGAACTCCTGACCTCAAGTGATCTGATCGCTTTGGCCTCCCAAAGTGATGGGATTACAGGTGTGAGCCACCACACCTGGCCCCTGCTGGCATCTCTTTCTTCCTCCCAAGTCAGAGCCACTGTCCTCTCCATTCTCTTTATTGTTATTTTGCCTTTTGAAAATATTTTTGCATGTTGGGCATGGTGGCTCATACCTGTAATCCCAGCACTGTAGGAGACTGAGGAGAGAAGATCACTTGAGTCCAGGAATTTGAGACCAGCCTGGGTAACATAGTGGCAAGACCTATCCCTATTTTTAAAAACATTTTAAGCTGGGTGTGGTGTCTCATGCCTGTAATCCCAGCACTTTGGGAGGCTGAGGCAGGCGGATCACCTGAGGTCCGGAGTTTAAGACCAGCCTGACCAACATGGTGAAACCCCGTCTCTACTAAAAATACAAAAATTAGTTGGGCATGGTGGTACACGCCTGTAATCCCAGCTACTTGGGAGGCTGAGGTAGGAGAATCACTTGAACCTGGGAGGTGGAGGTTGCAGTGAGCCAAGATTGCGCCATTGCATTCCAGTCTGGGCAACAAGAGTGAAACTCCATCTCAAGAACAAAGAAACAAAAAACATTTTAAGGCCAGGCATGATGGCTCACGCCTGTAATTCCAGCACTTTGAGAGGCCGAGGCGGGTGGATCACCTGAGGTCAGGAGTTCGAGATCAGCCTAGCCAATATGGTGAAACCCTGTCTCTACTAAAAAATACAAAAATTAGCTGGGCATGGTGGCAGGGGCCTGTATTGTCAGCTACTTAGAAGGCTGAGGCAGGAGAATCACTGGAACCCAGGTGGTGGAGGTTGTAGTGAGCCAAGATCGTGCCATTGTACTCCAGCCTGGGCAACAGAACGAGACTCCATCTCAAAAAAAAAAAAATTAGAAATAATTTTAAAAATAAAAAACAATTTTAAAAAATATTTTGCCGCCAGGTGTGCTGGCTCACGCCTGTAATCCCAGCACTTTGGGAGACCAAGGTGGGCAGGTTATTTGACCCCAGGAGTTCTAGACAAACCTGGGCAATATAGTGAGACCCCATCTCTAAAAAAATACAAAAATTAGCTGGGTGTGGTGGTGTGCCCCTGTAGTCCCTGCTACTCGGCAGGTGCTGAGGTGGGAGGATCATTTGAGCCCAGGAAGGCAAGGCTGCTGTGATCTTGCCACTGCATTACAGCCTGAGAGACAAAGCAAGACCGTGTCTAAAATATATATATATATATAGACTACATATGTAAGTATCTATAAATAACATATTGTTTGGTTTGGCAGGGTTTTAGACGTTTAAATAAGTGGCATCCACTGTGCATATTTTACTGCAGCTTGCAGTAAAATATACTGCAAATATATACTGTAGTAAAATACTGCAAAAATATACTGCAAAAATATACTGCAGTAAAATATACCGTGCCCGGCCACTGGTATGAGCACTTTTTAAAGCAATGTGGGCTGGGCGTGGTGACTCACACCTGTAATCCTAGCACTTTGGGAGGCCGAGGCGGGTGGATCACTTGAGGTCAGGATTTCAAAAGCAGCCTGGCCAACATGGTGAAACCCCATCTCTACTAAAAATACAAGAAAATTAGCTGGGCGTCATGGTAAGCGCCTGTAATCCCAGCTACTTGGGAGGCTGAGGCAGGAGAATTGCTTGAACCCGGGAGGTGGAAGTTGCAGTGAGCCAAGATCGAGCCACTGCACTCCAGCCTGGATGACAGAACGAAACTCTGTCTTCAAATAAATAAATAAATAAATACAACAATGTGACGGCCAGGTGCAGTGGCTCATGTCTGTAACCCCAGCACTCTGGGAGACCAAGGCATGTGGATCACTTGAGGCCAGGAGTTTGAGACCAGCCTGGCCAACATGGTGAAACTCCATCTCTATTAAAAATAAAAAAAAATTGGCCAGGCACAGTGGCTCATGCCTGTAATCCCAGCACTTTGGGAGGCTGAGGCGGGTGGATCACGAGGTGAGGAGATCGAGACCATCCTGGCCAACACAGTGAAACCCCGTCTCTACTAAAAAAAATACAAAAAATTAGCCAGGCGTGGTGGTGGGCACCTGTAGTCCCAGCTACTTGGGAGGCTGAGGCAGGAGAATGGCGTGAACCTGGGAGGCAGAGCTTGCAGTGAGCCGAGATTGCACCACTGCACTCCAGCCTGGGCGACAGAGCCAGACTGTCTCAAAAAAAAAAAAAAAATGCAAAATATTAGCCGTGTGTGGTGGTGTGGGCCTGTAGTCCCAGCTGCTCAGGAGGCTGAGGCAGGAGAATCACCTGAACCCAGGAGGCGGAGGTTACAGTAGCCAAGATTGCACCACAGCCCTCCAGCCTGGGTGACAGAGCGAGACTCCATCTCAAACAAACAAACACAAATCAATGTGGCATTATCAGGTGAAGCTGAAGATGTGCTTTCCCTATGACCAGCAATTCCCTCCCAGGTCGCACCTGAGAAATGGGCATGTGCATGTGCCCAGGAGCATGGGCAGGAGCGTTCACAGCAGCACAGTTGGTAACAACCCAGACACCCCTTTATTCATTCATTTATTCATTTCACAAGCATACATGGAGTACCTGTGGAGGATCAGGCATGGGGAATTTGAATAAGATAGACACAGTCCTTTACAGAGGTGATTGCTCTCTGCTCAGATGAGGTGGGTATTATTGTCCCATTTTATAGATAAGGAAGCTGAGACTCAGAAAGATTATGTGCCTCACCAGAACTCAAACTCAGGTTTGCCTCCAGCACCTGTGCTCACTTTTATTTTTTTTTAAGGCAGAGTTTTGTTCTTGTTGCCCAGACTAGCATGCAACAGCTCGATCTCGGCTCACTGCAACCTCTGCCTCCCAGGTTCAAGCGATTCTCCTGCCTCGGCCTCCCAAAGTGCTGGGATTACAGGCGCCCACCACTACACCCGGCTAATTTTTTGTATTTTTAGTAGAGACGGGGTTTCGCTATATAGGCCAGACTGGTATCACTTCAGGTAATCTGCCCACCTCGGCCTTCCAAAATGCTGGGATTACAGGCATGAGCCACCGCTCCTGGTGAGCGCCTGTACTCTTAATAGCTTTGCCGCACTGCTTCTGGATAATGCATCTTTCACTCGTCGGCACACTGTGGTATCTGTGCCCTCCTTCAGCGGGGTGTTCAGAGCCACACTCAGCCCTGGAGATGTGATCAAGCTAGCATAAGGGTGGACATTCAGTCAGCTCCCTATCCCTAATGGGAGCTTAGTGTGGGAGGGCACTGAGGTACTGTCAAACATAGACCTCAGCTTCAGCCTCTCCTGGTGGCCCGGCCCAGCCCAGCCTAACCCTAGTCCCCTAATCTCAGCTCCAACCCAGCCCCACCTGGCCTTTAGTTCTCTATTTCCTTCTCCCAAAAACTAGGTAGGTGGGTGGTGATGGAATAGGAAGACTAGATTTTAACCTAGGGAGAGGGTTTTGAATCCAGAGCTGGTCATTTCCTGGCTCCAGCGGGGCTAAGCTGGCCCTGAGTGAGATGGTAGGAGGAGCATGAGGGATGGCAAAGATACTGAAGGCTCCCTACTAGTTCCTCTCTGATTCATCCTCTGATCCCCCAACATCGCCTTCTTTCCCAGAAAGGGGGAGGTACAGGCTGAGTCAGAAGTGAAGTTCAAGTTCTGGCTGTGTGATTCTGGATAGGTTACTCAATCTCTCTGAGTTGTTTCCTCAGGTAGAAAACTGGATGATAATGATGATGGTATTACCTGTCTCACTATGCAAATCTTAAGGTTTTCAAAAATTGTTTCCCAGGGAATGTAGCTTTTCTTGAGGCAATAATGGCCCCTGGTGGCCATGCCCCAGCAGACCCCACTACCTTCTGCCGAACAGAGACCTGCGCTGAGTGAGGAAGTGGGCAGGTTGCCTCTCTGAAGTTGCTCATCAAAACCACAGACCCAGGTTGGGAGTGGTGGCTCATACCTGTAATCCCAGCACTTTTGGGAGGTCAAGGCAGGCAGATCACCTGAGGTCAGGACTTCGAGACCAGTCTGATCAACATGGTGAAACCGCGTTTCTACTAAAAATACAAAAATTAGCCAGGCATGGTGGTACGCACCTGTAATCCCAGCTAGTTGGGAGGCTGAGGCAGGAGAATTGTTTGAACCCAGGAGGCGGAGGTTGCAGTGAGCCAAGATTGCGCCACTGCACTCCAGCCTGGGTGACAGAGTGAGACTCCATCTCAAAAACAAAAACAAAAACAAAACAAACAAAAAACCCCACAGACCCAGAGAGTTAGGGTTAGAAGGGAACAGCTTGTTGTTTTGTACCCTTACCCTTACCCTCTGCGACCTCATCCATGCTTATAGTGGCCCTTTATCCACCCTAACCAGGCATCACCCTTCTAAATCTCTATCCCAGCCCTCAACCCTAGAGCTGCACATCTGGAAGCTGCTGTATCTCCCCCATGCCACTATATCTCCCCTTCCCCAGGGCTTAACCACATACCTG